GATGTACGGTGTTGGCGCATGAGACGGAAATTGTTGCTAGAAAGGCATTGGAAGCATTCTGGATTTCCGCTAGAAATCCAGCGATGAACGGCCGGGATGAACGCCCTTCAATAACAAGTGATCTCTCGCCGTTTATACCGCACTGCGAGCTGTAGAATAAAGCGTACGTGCGTCTCCCAGCGATTACTCAATCAGGAGACATTACGGTGTGTCTTATTTCTTACTGACCGGCGCTTTTGTGCAGAAGCGGGATTCCCGCACAAACGGTGGAACCCTGGGTGAGTTCAAAATTCGTTTTGCTTATGTTTCTCGGTGGGACTCCCGACGGAAAGTCGGAACCGCTAGAGGAGATAAGGCGCTTGGTGGATTAGATCGTAAATTTCAACCTTGAACCGCGTTTAGGCCTCAGAAGACGACGATTTTGTCGAAACGTTAGGCCGATTGAATAAATGTTCCACCTATCAACCTCGAACGGCAGAAGAAACAAACACAAATAAGAACAAAGAATGCCGAGGTTACAAGAAGAGAGAAGCTGGAGACTACAAAGTGGACTTTTTCGATTAATTAGCTGTTTTATTTTTCTGATATACTAATCAAATTTAGTATACACCACTGTTTTTAGCAGCAATCGTCAACACAGGGGTATGTGTTTCATGCACTTTAGAAGGGAAATGAGTTCTGGGCAAGGAAAGTTGGAGAGATTCGGAGGTTTTTTGGCATGATGGTGATTCAAGTAAGACTTCTTTCTCGAGGTGAACTCGAGAGGGAAGCCGATGTTCGCTCCTTGGCACGAGGTGGGAGCTACACGGTGAGCTGGAAGAGCTGCTAGTCCGAGAGTCTCTAGATATTCGTGATTTTTTTTTCGCAAAAAAGGCTCTATCTTGCTTCGCTTTCAATTTTTAGGCGTCGCCATCAAGGTGTTTGAGGTTTGTTTTCATCATTGACTCTTCATTATTAGACGTTAGTTCCCAGCGCAAGCCTTCTGCCAATTCCACCAACAACTCAGGAGCTAAAATTTGGAGAAGGTTATACTTTACCTGCAAGAACTTCAAAATCTATAAAGCTAGGCTGAATTGCTGTCAATGGCCTCGTAAAGCGTCGAGATCACCAGTCACGGGATGGTTGGAGTGTGGAAATACACTGCGGTGCACAATAGATTGCACCCCATAGAAAACCTTAATTTTCTTGAGAGCCGGAAACTTTTGTTGCTTCTGCCTATACTATAGTTTAGAAATAGACGAAGGAATAATATCTGTGATATTTATTTGACATTACGACTTTTTTAAAGTTTGTGACAACAATTTTTCACTTTTTGAGCCGGTGCATAATAGATTGGACGATATGTATTGTGG